GGTTTGGGGTGAGCTGGACCGCAGAGTGAAGGCAAAGGGGCCAACAAGTGCTAAACACCTCTGGGAACTCCTTCAAGACTGTTGGAAAACCATTTCAGGTGACTACCTCTTGAAGCTCATCGAGAGAATGCCAAGAGTGTGCAAAGCAGTAATCAGAGCAAAGGGTGGCTATTTTGAAGAAACTAGAAAACATGTTTTCAGTTATTTCACCTTTTTTTGTTAAGTACATAACTCCACATGTGTTCATTCATAGTTTTGATGCCTTCAGTGAACAGAGAAGACAGCTTAAAGCAGGGATTGTTGATGATATTATTTTTATGCACAGCAACGTAAGCGAGTGAGTAATAGCATGGTTGGTGATTGATTCTGCCAAACTGACTATAGATTATAAGTTAATTCATGTTACACGTTCTAATGGCGCAATTCTAATGGCAAAACTAAAGCACTTTAAAGTGAGTGCTTGTATAGCCTGTTTGATTCAATTGTGGGTCGGGTTGCTGGACTTAGATTAACATGTCGGGGAGGGTCTAGATTTTACTGGGATATAATTGCAGGTAACAGGTCAGTTCTAGTATTGATCTTTGCGGGTGCAGGTTTGCAAAGCTGGGCATGTGCAGGACTCTGGTTGTAGGTCTATCAAATTGCATCCAGCAGCATTTCTGTCTTTCTATCAGCTGTTGATAACGCCCCGTGGGAATCAAAAACTAACAGAGAGGTTCCAGACTTTCATTTGCAGATTTGTGGTTTGGTCTGGCGATTTCAGGCTACATCTTTCCAGCAAAGGATCAATATTTCTACTTAACATAAAAATCTCGCTCCCACTTGAACATTTACAGTGCAAGCTTCCAGAAAAAGCCTAACAATGTATGGAAAGCCAGAGGGTGAAAATGGCCTATTGAAATTTCATTTCACAACATAACAAAGAAAACTCTAGGATCAAAATTGGATTTTTCTAATGAGGTAGCTCTTACAAAGACTCCATATTGAACACCCCTTCCAGCTCCGCCCCGCTCTCCTTTGCTCAATATAGCTGGCATAAACACATTATAGTGGCTCGTCTGGGGGCTTCTTCACTGCATCAATAGCATTTATTAGTGAACTTATCGGTCTAAGCAGATCTCCTCTGAGCCAAGGAGAAGGCTGAATGGAGTGTGTGTGTCAGTGCAAACTAAGCATGTGTATCTGAGTCAGGAGGGATGATGAGACGAGAATGCCAACATCAGGAGAGCTGGAAGAGAGCGGGCTGTAGATGTGGGTAACCAAGCTGTCCCCTGGCCCCTCCATCCTTCTTCTCATTCTCAGTGTGACACACGGGTAATGGACTCCTTTGTGGCAGGATGACATATCAGTACCTGCCTATTAACTCATGTCTCACCCTTTCTGCTGACAGTAAAGGGAGGAACGGAAGGGAGGCAGGGAAGGAGAGGGTGACAGGATGAAAGAAAAATAGAAAGCAAGAGGAAAAAGCAGGAAAGAAAGACATAACATAGGTAGCGGTAGAGCTAAAGGGCAGATGGACAGAAAAATGGTGTTCCCGAAGGAAAACAATACGGCAGAGTCAAGGGGCTGCGGCTTAGATGGAAAAGGCTTTGAGAGATTTGGAGGGAACATCTGTACTAGGTAACAAAAAGGGAGTGCTCTTATAGTGAAGGTGGGTCTGCCTGCAATGAAAACGTTGACCTGCATGACAATACAGAGACAACACGAGCAAAGAGGAGAGAAAATTAAGAATAAAACCTAGTGGAGATTCTGGTAGGTTTGGAAATAATGTGATCGTGTAATCTGTTACTTACACACACACACACACACACACACACACACACTAGGTGCAAATGTAAGGAACACAATGCAGGCTGATCAAGCAGCTAATGACAGACTGGTATGGTTATCCCGTACTGAAGATGAACTTCAAATTCAACCTGTGCAACGTTGCAAATTCTGTCCAATCACTGCAATTTTTCCGCATAATTGACCAATCATCAGAGTTTCTCATGAGTCACCTCTCAGTTTGTTGCACTGGTTGTAAAGATGCACACATGTGCAACACAACTGTCTCACAATAACCAACAAAGATGAGGAGTAAGCTGTTTTGCAGCACGTGCAACGTTGAGGTGGAACCAGGGGTCGCGTTAACCGGATATTCTCAGTCATTGACCGTTTTTTTACAACAATGACCGGAAAATCTGAAGGCCGTCGGCCATTTTGACCGGTTGCAATTACCACCCCTGCCCACTTGGCGGTGGAGTGCACAGTCAGTGGTTTAAGTGGCTGCCGTTTTCACACTGCAGAGAAAAAGTCATTCATCTGCTTCATGTAGCGTTGTTGACATAACGGCCTGGACACACCAGATGCATTAGTGCTGCAGAAGTCCTGCGAGTATACTCGCAGGCGCTTGACTGTCCACACAGGCAGCGCATTTCTCCTGCCCTCTCCGCGCCGGTTAAACATCGACTCCACTCGTCTGTTCCCGTCAGTACTCGTTTTTTCACTTCAACAGGTCATTTTAAACATGGGTAAGTCCATATTTTAATCGTTTTTTATAACGTAATAAGTTAATGACAATTTGTCATTGCATGTCCATGTATTGAGCGTGTTGGGTAAACACTGAATGAATAGGGCATATTGTTCTGACCATTTTATTTATGTAGTTATGTCTGTAGGCTCGGTGACATAAAATCAAAACTGTAATGAAGTGATTAGGGTATTGAAAAATGTGTTCGGTTATGCACTGTTGTGTTATTTTAAATTATAAACATAAACATGCATGCTGTTGTTATTTTATTTTGAAAATTGGCCAGATTCTCTCGTCTTTTCTGTGTCCGACTTCCTGTTTGGTACGATCCGCTCTATCCAGCTTGACAGAAGTGCTTGCGGCTCATGTTAAAAATAGACCAGACGCCGAACTGAAGCGCTGCGGTGTGTGGATGTCTGTTCATCTTTTCGTTCATGTCCTTATTAATGCACACTTTATAACTTGCTTGTTGGATTTATTAAAAACGAACGAATGAATACTAAATGTCTTTGAATATCTTTATTATCATTTAAAAATTAAAATTAAAATGACCGGTAAAAATAGATTATGACCGGATTTTTATGACCCTGTCGGTCAAAATGACTGGCGAGGAAAAAGTCTAGCGCAACGTCTGGGTGGAACACAAACAATTTTCTAAAACAACGAACAAATCAAATCTTGACATCTATTTCAAGTGCTGAAAGAATCAAGGTAAATATGCACGGTTAGTGTTAACGTTAGTGGAGCACAAATTACAAAGCGATAGAGGCGCGCGTGCCTGTTTGCATGACAAACTGTGTGTGTGTGATAAAGAAAATACTTAAGAAATAAACAGTCTCGAAAAAAATGTTCTAATGTGTTGGAAAGTAAACTTTTTTTTTTTTTTAAAGATATTTTTTGGGGCATTTTTAAGCCTTTAATCGATAGGACAGATTAGTGTGAAGGGGGAGAGAGAGAGAGGGAGAGACATGCAGCAAAGGACCACAGGCTGGAGTCGAACCCGGGCCGCTGCGGCAACAGCCTTGCACATGGGGCGTCTGCTCTACCACTAAGCCACTGACGCCCCTGTTGGAAAGTAAACTTACTTAGAAGACACAGCAGTGTGTGTGTGTGTGTTTTATTCTCACTGGAACAAGTTGCATTTGGTTTTCGATGAATAATTCCAAAGGAGTAAAACTGCAAGTATTTTTTTTTTAGATGAAAAATTGCCAAAAGGTCTCAAAACATTGCAACATGCATTGCAATTTTTTAGAAAATCTGTGGTGAAATCAGGCATTTTAGGCTGCAACAATCCCAAAATAAAGCCTGTAAAACCCTGGAGGGGCTGAAAATAAATATTCAGTGTTTTCTTGCCTGGTCTCTAGCCTCTAGTGTTATATTACATTTTTTAAAAATCAAAAATTCCACCTAATTTAGAGTATACTGACAATTACTTCATATTATCATCTTCAGTGAGGACCACTTCAGTCCTACACTTGCAGCCCTTTTCAACAGTTGATCCTAGTGACATAAAAGATAACACTTAATGTCTGAATCCCAATCATCTCACTTTTCCTAAAAAAATATCTGACAGCTTTCATTTGGTGAAAGAAAAAATTTGCAAATCAAATTCACATTAACTACAGTCGGAGGATTGTCTCATTCGTGCAGTGTTAGACACAAACTTTGTATGTGATATCATTACTGGGTGACAGCCAATTAATAAGAGGCAATTCATTCATACACAAGGATGGGTGTATCTTATAATGGTGTCATGTCCTTGGTGGGTGGTTTGTCTTTGTTCTTACATTCCTTTTGTTTTACCTGCCTCTGCATTTCTAGCATCTAAATTATATGGGACCTACCTGAGGTGCTCCTGTAGAGGGTGCCCTGCTGGGTGTGGCTGGGGCTGCGGTACAACGGGCCCTGGAACGTCCGATCCTCGTAGATTGGTGCAATATGACGCTCTGGGGACATGGCTGACCTTAAGTCCTGGCCCAGCTGGCTGTGTTGACTGGCATATGAGCTCCTTATTCCTGGAGATAAAGGAGAGTGGTTAGTGGATAAGTGGTCAGCAGTAGAACGGTCTGGTGATTACACAGACTGTTTCATAAGTGAAGTGTCAGAGGTTTGAGCCCTCTGTCATTGAACTCCCATGTGTCCTGTCAAAGTGTCATTGAGGGAGACATTGAATGACTTTTAGCATATTTACTGTGATTCTTTCTTGAAACAGTATTGGTTAAATGTCCAAAACATATCCAAGTGCAAAATAAGAGGGTAGAGGAAAAGAAAAAGAAACAGGAGGGGAGGTGTTTGCCCCTTACTTTTAAGGCAGCCATTGGTTTCCATTTATTATGTTATGGTATGAAGATCAGCTTTAGACACTTGATACTTTTTTGATTTAGGTAATTAATCATAGTAAACGACATGTCTCCTTTAATTGTTTTCAAAGTTAACGTCATTGCTGCATGGCAATGCGGTTCACTGATATGCAAAGTCTGCTCTGCATTACCATACAACAATAATGCAACACTGACAAAAATAAAAGCAGACGTGACGCTCATATCAGTGTGACCTCTCTCAAGCAAGTTTCAGTTTTGTGAGTCAGTTTCAACACTGGGTGAAAACGAATGAAAACAGATCGGAAAAAAGTTATGCACTAACAAAAAATAATGAGCTGCTCAGGGATGAGATCAGTTGTGTAAATATGTAAAATATAAGATAGTAAATAAGTATACATGAGTTGGAAAAAAGCAGCAGCTTAAATATACAAAAAAATAAACATGGTTCCTCAAAATAATACAAAAAGGGAAAAGAACCCATTAACTCTCCCTGTGTCTGTTTATTATTGTTAATCCACATTACATTAAGTTGACATACACACTGCCCACGCACATACCTCAGCTAAATATATTCCACATCCGCTGGAAAAACTGAGTTACAGAAGGGCAGAATAAAAAACACAAGGGTATCCCTATTTGAATTTGATTTTGTCTCCCCAAATAAGGTCTTAAAAGTCACATATTTAAAGCTCATTTCCAATTCTCTACAAAGCTGACTTTGAAAAACAACCCTAGCATAGATGCCATGTGTTGCACCCTAAACACAAAGACCACAGTCAACAGCCACCATGTTTTAACATCCATGTACGTTCTGCACCTGCCTAAGGGCCCGAGATACATCAAGCTGAATGTTGGCAGTTGGTGCGCATCTGTAGCCCTAGTTCTGGCGGTGTATCCCTCATCATTGGCAATAGTTGGCCCTTGCCTGTGTTTTTTCAGCCAATTCAGCATGTTAAATCAGTGTTGGAGCTGGTGGAGGCCGTCAGTAAACGAAATCACTCTGATTGGCAGTTGAGGTCAGGGTATGAGAAGACAAATGGAAGTTAAAAGAGCAAACCAACGACTAAAGTTAACATGGTAAATTGACCTGCACTTGTATAGCACCTTTTCTAGTCATCCAACCACTCAAAGTGCTTTTACAGTATGAGTCACACACTGGGGGCTGAGGCTACCATACGAGGTGCCACCTGCTACTCAGTTTTTAACACACACCGCTTGAACAGCCATCACAGTTTGGGGTTCAGTATCTTGCTCAAGGATACTTCGACATGCAGACTGGAGGAGCCGGGGATCGAACCGCTGTTCTTCCAATTAGTGGACAATCCGTTCTACCTCTAAGCCACAGCCAGAGACGGCATGAAACCGAAACAAACACACAACTTGTGCTTCTTATAGCCACTGAGGTCTTTGGCAGAAACAGATTGTAATGGTTTGTGTTACTGTTAGTTAGCGCACATTAAATAAAGTTTGCTGTTTTAGTGTTGAGTGTGTTGTTAATGTACTAACTTGCTAACTAGCATTCTGAATCTTTCCTGTTGGTCTTACAGTTTCCCTTCAGGAATAAGTTTTTGGTAGAGACACAGACGACTTGAGGTGACGCAACAGTTGGCCTTTGTCGCCACCTGTTCTTTAATGGCGGCTTGGCACGTCTGGGCCTTTAGAGGAAATAACTAAGAAGTCTGTATTTGTACTATAAGGAACATTGAGGATAAATGAATAAAACAAATTAGCCAAGCACTGCCACTCTTGATCTGATTAAGCAGTCTTCATACATACTTTATATTGAATTGTATATCCAGTGCTGTCAGCCAGTGGTTTTTTGGGGGACGACAAATAGGTGAAAGCAAATAGTAAATACTACACTGCACTAAATGGGTAAAATCAGCTACAGTCGAAGGCCAACAAGAGCCGACAGTGTTGGACCAAGAAGAATGTGAGCAGATCAGAGGCATTGCCGGAGCAGATGTTAAGGAATGTGTGTTACAGGAAACAGCTTACCATACGAGGGTGAGAAAAAGAAACACACACAGATGAGCGCTCTAATTTAAACTCCTTTCCACAAAAGTCACTGTAACAACAGGCTGCGGGGGCAGCGTGAAGCAGCGAATACTGTCTGACACAGATTCAGTCCAGATGTGAAACAGTAACAGCAGAATGAGGCAACAGCATCTGTTGCTCTGAGTCCGTCCATTCAAGGAAAACCCACTGCTAAGAGGCTCCTCACCCCTTCACCTTCGTTCCCACCCAACCAACTTCAAAATGCCTAAAATCCCAACACAAACACATATCTGTGCTCCTTCTTAAAGGGTCTTCAGAGGTGGTAATTCCTAACATCTCTGGAGTTTTCAGTGTGTTATTATGTCACACCTCAAAGTGCTGAAATCACCATTCCCATTAGCCACGAAGTATTAAAAACCTTCTGTGTGCTACACCCTCCCAGTGAAGCCCACTGCTGACAGCTTAAAAGAACCTGTTGGTCTACACCCTCCCCAGCAGGGTTAGCGGGGTTAGCAGGGAGGAATGTGCAATAAAACTGAAAAGCAATAAGTATAAAGAATGTTATGATTAAAACATAGTCCAAAATTGAATCTAATGGCTCTGTCTTTTGGGAGAAAGCACCACATTAACTCGAATATTGCTGTGTAGGAGATGGATGATGGGCTGTTAAGTTGCAAAATCAAAAATAATGAAGGTCTAATGCTTGAAAATGGACCACAATTACAGCGTGATTCAGCTAATCATCCCCCCGATTAAATCAAACTTGGGGTGAATGTATTATTGTGACAAGAGGTACAATAATAGTCATGCTTTCACTGTGAAGTTCTGAAGATGCCAGGAATATGTTACGGACTACGCTCTCATTTAAAGCTTAAGAAAATCTGAAGACACTGAAATGGAAGACGAGGCTGATATGAAGAGATCTCAGGTTTGTTTTTCTTTAATCTCCATTTTGATCTGCATACCTACATTTCTGTGCTTGTGTTAAATCTCACATCAGTGAAGCTCACTATGCTGTGAAGCCCAGTGGACCAGTATACAGCTGGCATCTAACCGCTCATTGCACATTTCACAAGCCTCCAAAACGTCACTTGGGTCCTCTCCAACTGCATGAGCTCAGGCGCAGACTGCTGCTGAACACCAGCTCTGCCATGCAGAACCAGCTAAATGAGGGATTCTTGTCACAGTTTGAGACAGAGGAAATTAATAAATAAGAATGTTTGCCTCCTTTGGGAGCAGAGGGCCTCTGGGGGTAAGGCGAGTGAAGATTTTAGATGTAGACAGCAGGCCAGACTGAGGTTGACCTCTGAAGCACTGAGCAGTTAAAAAGCGGAGCTCTGCGGGGGCATCAAAAGACCCTGCTCACCTCCAGCTGCATGACAAATGCATAAGAGCATGAATTAAATAGAGAAATGGTTAGTATATTTAAAAAATGGTTGCAGTCCAGATTAAGTAGCGGCTAAAGGCACCAAGCTGATGGTCAGCTGTTGGTCAATGTCGGGCCGTCGGTGAATGTCTGTCGCCCTAGTTCTTGCGGTGTGTCAGCATGCTGAATCAGTGTTGGAAATGGCAGAGCCTGTGGGTGAATGAAATCACTCTGATTTTGCAGTTCAGCTCAGTACAAGAAAATAGTAGTGAGGAAAGCAAACAAAGGTCAAGAGGGTGTGAGATCGAGACAAACTTGTTACATTATTTTAGTTTGTTTTTTTAGCAATTGAGCTCTTTAGAAGAAGCGGTTCGTAACTGGTTGTGTTTTTGTTCTCTAACACACAGCAACTTTGTCCTTTCAACATCTGGTTGTGTTGTTAATGTGATAACTGGGTCTTAATTCCACCCGTTGGTCTTCAAGTTTCCTGGTATGGAGAACTACCACCTCTAACAACCTTGGTTGTTGGCTGTGGTCTTTGTGGTGCGCTCAAACGCAACTTTCTAGCAGAGACATAAGCAACATGAGGTGATGCAACTGTTGGCTTTTGTTGCCACTAATTCTTTGATGTCGGTAACCCACATTCTTTTAAACAATAAAAGTGTGAGCAATGGGTGTCCTGGTCTGGTTTGGCAGTATTCAATTCAAGGTGTCTGAAGCCCCGTTTCCACCAAACACTTTCGGTATGGTACCTTTGGAACCAAAAGTAACCCTTCAGACATGGTGCCTAAACCCTAGGTCCACTAAGCATTTCCACCGCAAGCAGTCCTCTTAAATTTGGGCGGGGATATTGTCACTCACTGTTCCGTCCAGCACCGTCAGAGTGAGGATTAGAATATATGCACTTCATATAATCGGTTGAAATTAAATTCTATAAATGCCTGAAGATCCACTCATTACTAAAAATATATGTCATATAAAAACTAAAGTAATGGTCAAAGTTGTCACAGTGAAATTTAAGGTATGCTGATGGATTCAAGTCGTAACATTACAAGTTAACATTCCACCTTAAAAGTTGCCGGCAGTTGGCCCAGTGAATCAAAATACTTTTTTCTCCAACTACAGCTACTGCAAGAGCCAACGAAACATCCTTTCATTTTATAGTTACAGTCAACTAAGCTCAGCCACAGCTCAGCCCTGAGCAAAGTGACCGTCCACTTTTGATCAATCAATAGGCTGTAATGTTCACAGCTCCACCTTTTACTATCAGATCTGTGTGCTAGGTACCCCAACAGAATGGTGACCAAAAATGGTTATGGTATGGAACTGTTCCATTGGTACCATCAACAATTTCTCACGGTGGAAGTGGAAAAAAAGCATACCGAACTGAACTGTACCCTACCGTATCGCTTGGTGGAAACAGGGCCTAAAAGCTCTATTATAATAAATACATTTTGTGCAGGTGATCAGTGGAAGGGCAAGCTGTTCAATGCAAAGCAGCTTTGACAAAATACTAACCTGCCTGTCAAGATTATGTTAAACCTCAAATCAATTTCGTCACTGGCTGTGTTTACCATTACACTGCAGCAATTAAATGAAAGCAGGCATTTTAGACATCCTTGGATTTATAAACAAAGCTGTGAAGGCCGTGTTACAAGTTAAAGCTTTTTTTTTCAGGATGCTTTCTGGTTGATTTCCAATATCAGAAATCTTGGCTCCTTTGGCTATGCAACAGGTTGGCCTGTGCCAACAACACCCCACCCTCCTCCTCCTGACCACACTACATTGGTGGTTCCACTCTACACTGTTTATTTCCTGTGCTGAACATCAGTCCCGCTCCACACCTGCTACCTGGTGGTTTCTCCATTGTTTAAGAATTGCTTGGTGAAAAAAAAACCCAATATTTAATTATGTTTTTAATGAAAAATAAATTTATTTCCAACACGGTTTAACAAAGGCAATGCGCCACTTAATGCCATGCTTTTAGAGCAGCTTAGAGGGTTTTAGGCACTCCAGGGTGAATGTCTCTCAGCTTTTAGTGTCCTCTCTTGTGTTTTTTGGCAAAATGAGCCATTGTAGCTGCAACATATACTGTAGGTTCACAGTTTCAAACTCATCAATGGACTGTATTTAATACCAAAATCTGAGGCACAAGGGGTTGAACGTAACTATGGATTACATATAAACAAGTACTCTGAAATGGCAGGCATGTTGTTGTGCAGGGAGTAAGGAGTAAAACTGAATGCTGCTGCTGCTGCTTCTGCTGCTGTGTGCTGTAGTGGCTCACTCAATAGCCCAGGAAGCCTTTTACTTTGTGGCCGTGCACACAATAGCCACTAGCAGCAGCTTGGCAGGAAATCAGTTCAGCTTCTCTTGTTCAAAGGTTTAAAGTGGGAGGGTTAGTATATGAAGAGAGAGGAGGTAGCGGGAAGACAGGAGGAAAAGGCGGGAGCACCAGAGAAGAAAGCGGGGAGAGAATATAAGAAGGGGAGGAAAAGAAAGGATGAAAATGAAAGGAGGGTTAATGAGGCCGTCTAGGACCACCAGAGACTTCTCATCCCTTGTAAAGCCCGGCTGTGACCGAGTGACACGGACAGAATCTCCCTGGCACAGGAGCCTTCATGCATATCTCTCCCACTCAGCAGCCTGACTCCTGAAAGTAGCAACATTCAAACAACCTTAGAGGAGACTAATCCGTCTGCCTTCTTTATTCTGCTCCCCTGGTAGAAGGGCTGCAGTCACTTCTAAAAAGCATCTGCAAATTGTCAGGGAGAAATAACATACTGCTGTCTATTGAGGATGAATGGCCCACATTCCTGGTGCGTTATAGTCATTTAATTCTCCCCCTCAGCCCTCTCACCATGGCTTTAACAGATTGCACTTGGCAGAGGCTAGATGAAGGGCGGTGGCGGGCTTGGCGTGTGTTTGCTCGGGAGAAACAAACACTTAAATGGATGCAGCTGACTGAATTCCTCAACAAAAATAATTTACAAAAACCCTCACCAGACAAACAGGAGAACTGGAATGATCACCAGAAAAAAATGCTATAATTAAAAGTGAGAACAGTTGTGAAAAATATAGTAAACCAAGGTGAAAACGACCACGATGGCTTGGCTGTCAGGTTGAGAATGCACACACAGATATGCCATTTCCCTCCACTCTTTCTTTGTCCCACACTGCATTGAAATGGACACTGAGCGTAATGAGCACGTTATTAGGGACAATTTGTCTTCATTTTCCATTTTTCAACAGCAGAGGGAAGGCATGACTTCCTGCCAATGACAGTGGAGGAGGGGGAGTCAGGTGGGTGGTAGGAAAAAAACAGATAAGGGGAAAAAGAGAAGAGCACAGATCGGAGACAGAAAATTCAAGTTAAGGGCTAGAAGTCTGTTGAAAAGAGACCAAAGGAAAATACATAACGTGTGACAGTGCAAGGGAGAGGTGAGGAAAGGAGGCAAAACATCAACTGACAGATACTGACAGAGAGCCACCAACAGCAACAGTATCAAGGTTAGGCTGTCGGATGGCGTTTGCCAAATACTCGCAATTGAGCCTGATCATGTGATCATCCCATTTCCTTCTACTATGGCTCATCAAACACTTGTGACAAATTGCAGTGTTAGAAGTAAGGCTCCACTATAGCGAATGTGAGAGAAAGGGAGACAGTATGGGGGACAGCAGGGTGAGAAATACAGGAAGGAGAGGAGAATGAGGCTGGTGTCTCACTCTGCTTAGAGGACAGAGACTGACAACCCATTTGTGTCTGCTTGAGACATCATTACTCAGAGTAGTGTGATGTAACTGCCTACTTACAAGAACCACTGAGTGCACCTGAAAATGACACCTAATAAATAACATGTGATAGAAGGGAAACAAATAAGATGAGGAATTCTGGCAACAAAAGGTCACACTACAGTCACCAAGGAAAGCTGCTCAGCCCTGCAGCAAATATTTCCCAGTGGTCACTCGCGGTGTTGCAGCCAATAAAATCCCCAGTGGCCCAAAAAGCATTTCCCCCATTGACCACCACAGTAAAAGATACGTCTGTAAAACTGTTGACAGGACACCTCGGACTGCAAACGTCAATTACGAGTCTTTCTATTCTGAATTTTTGAGCCATGGTGGTTTTATATTCGTAACACTTTCCTCAAGCTGAGAAAGGCGATTTAAAAAACCATAACATCATCACAATGTAAAGTCTATGAGCCGAGCTGGAACTCCTTGGCAGGGCCAGCAGGCGAAACACTACTCCGCATAGTCAGTGGGCCACATACCGCGGAAGTTAACCCAGAAGCTGGAAAACTTTATTGCGGTATGCAGGTGAGCACAGGCCACCGGGAAGTGCGCCAGGTTTTGAAGCCAATTTTCATAGTGGCAAAACAGTGGTACTGCAATTTCTGATGCTCTGTGGCCCGAAACTACTTTTTCCCATCCACTTATATTTGAAAAGAGACGTCTGTTGACCAATGGATAATATTTTTTGAGCGCCACAACTCCGGTGAAATGACTCATTGCACTATCAACATTTAATCCTTTGGGACTGATCACATTTCGAAAGCCTAATGGAGCCACAAGATTAAATTATTATCCCCTATCAAGTTAGCGGAGCACTAAACTGGAAGTCAGCCACTCAGCCTTTGTCGGCGGCCAAAAGTCTCTAGTGTGCCTGCTCTGTGGGTCCATGATGCAGGAGCTATTCCAATAATCCCTGGATCATTGGGGTTATTTTATATTCAGCAGTTGAACCATTTTGGCTTCATGCGCCACTGGGCAACTCTAATAGGAATGAATGGGTCCCCGACGCCAATGCTGTATCCAGGTGTCTTAATACATCCATGCACAAATGAGTGAAGAGTTTGCTAGCACTAGCACAGATCCTAGCACCAAGGCCGAAACAAGCTCCCCATGATAGTTTTACAGTCAAACCCCAGCAGCAATCACACATCCGCATTTTCAGCCACTACGTCACATGATAAGAACATTTTTATGAATTTGTATATTTGTGAAATTTTTTTGTGGTTAAAGCAAATAAATGCAGCCCAACTTCCCTCTTCAATCTTTTGTAATGTTTAACAGCATTGTTTCATGGCCTTCTTGAGGCTTTCAAGTTAAAACACATTGAAGTCATCACTTATAGAAGTATTTCACTGCTGGAAAGGTGGTCTTCTCATTAACTCGAGCTGTTTTCGAGCAGATTGTTGTGATGCAAAGCTGGTAGAAAATCTGCTTTAAGAAATAAACATTTGTTTTAAACCAGTAGAAACCTTCTGATTTACATGACATGGAAACTAAAGCTGAAAATAACTCATGAACTTTAAATTAAGTGGTATTATGTGTATATTGTGATAATTATCGTTAGATTAATATAAAAAGAAAACATATTATGATACATTTTTGGCCATATTTCTCAGCCCCAACAATAATACCGCCATGCCGCCCTATTACTGTTATTATCATGAATAGCATTACAGTGGAAATTTGGGTTTTTGATCAGGCCCTGGTCATAAACTACTGCCGTGATTGTGGTTCTGGTTGGCCTGATTGTTTGGGCCCGATCACGTCTCTATTGCTGTGTAGATTACATAGTTAAACCACAATGTAGCATGTACTTCTAAAACTGATGACCCTAGAATAAACATGGTAAAAATGACGACTGGTTGAAGATAAATACTTAACCGACAACAAATAACAGAGACACTGCATGCAGCACCTACATGCAAACACAACACACTGAGGATGATGGGACACTGATGTCACACAACAACCAAAAATGTTCACCTTGAATGTCATCATCAACCAGGGCATCTGAGGATATCCCCAGGCAGCATGAAGTCAAGCAGAAAACAGTCCATTAACCTTGGAACCACAATGCAGTGATTTGCTAAACAAGTGCCTCCTCTATTTTTTTTTAAGGTAAACAAAGATTTACTTGGCTTTTACGGAGGAATCCTGCTTTCTTTCACCAGCTAAATGACTACTTTCATTGCTTTCTCCTTCTGAAAAGCCTTCATGTAAGACTGAAATTTCAACAAAAGGTGTGATTTTGCTACCTAATAACTGTGGTTTTCATTATTGTCAGAGCTACATTCTTATCTTCAGGAGATACCTTAAAAAGCAAGAGCTGAGAATGAATCAGTACACGCTGTCCTCTTCCTTTGGCTGTGGGGAAAAACTGCTGGGCTCCAGATTTAAACAAGATATGTGTTTGGCTAGAAAACATTCACCAGTCCTAAAAGGATGACACCCAAGCCACTATGGGCAGGGAGGTTTTCCAATTATTATCTTCCTGATCTCTTCAACAGCTCTGATTAAATTACACGCACACACAAACACACACAGTTATACAGCCACCTCATTTTGTCCTTGGTGAGCACCCACGATATAGCCGTGATAATGCACTCATGAAAATAATGGATTCGGTTGGACTTCCATAATGTGTCGTGGAGATGTTTTCCTCTACCCTCTCTATTATTCACTACATAGGTATATAATTAAATTGCTTATCGCTTATTTAACCTGCAAATTGAAAGTGCCTTTGCATAAACGCCATGTATACTTAACATTAACCAATATTCTTGATAAACTTGCTCAATATAAAGGGCAACTGAACCGTGGCTGAAAATATTGTTTTTGTATTCAGTGGTTAAACAGCTCACCCCGTTTTAAATGTGTTCCACAGCTTCAGAATATAAAAGGAGGAGTGTGTAGGATTTAGTGACATATAGTGGTGAGGATGGCAGATTGTCAACAGCTGAAACTTCTCCTGTATGCCAAGCATGAACTCCTGGTTAGGATTCCTTGGGTGTTCATTGCTCAGGAGGTTTTTATCAGGAGCTGAATTGCCCTTTCGCTAAGCCCCGCCCCTTTGTGACAGCCCAACAAGCTGTCAGAGTAAGCATGGAGCCCACACTATAAGTAACTGCACTTCCTGAAGAAACATTATCATATTTTTGGAAAAACGAAACAGTGATTCCAGAGAGAAGCAGACAGAGGGGTCTACAGTCTGTGTTTGAAGGATATATCCAGGATGTCAAACTGACTCAGCAGCAACAACAGGTTAAAAAGACAAAGATAGTTAGAAGCTAAACCCGAACTATAGGCTACAGATCACAGTGTAAAAGTGAACCACCACATCACTGCTGATCATCACATAAGACAATGAATATAAAGGGAAACTTTGCTGATATTGAACCAGCTGTGTGGCATCGCAATGTGTGCAGATGAACGGTGTTTGGCTTTGCCCCCGTGCCACTGCCAGCACCTTGACCGCCTCTGGACGGGCAGGGATCTCCAGGGGAAGTCAAACAACGTTCATCTGCGCACACTATGATGACACACAGCTGGTTGAATATCACCAAAGTTTCCCTGCCTCCCTTCACTGGTTCCTGTACAGCAGGGTCTGTATTTCTTTCACTGTTATAATCATTAAAAAGCAAACGCAGCATGTGTATACATTCAGTAGACTATATCATCAGTAGCTAGCTAGCTAACCCTACACTTTTCAGGGTTTGATTTTGGTTTTGGAACAGGAAAGAAACGTATATCTTTTTCCAACCTCTCCAGGTAATGAGTATCATTGCCCCAGGCACAACATTTAGCTCCAAATCCACAAAATCAGCCTGAAAATGAAGGAAATCTGAAAGGATTGCATTAGAGTCAATGGAGCACAGCTGTGTTGTTGATGGACACTGGTCTGAGTCGGCCCAATGTTACATTATGATTGGCCAGTTTGCGTCGGAGGGCAGGACTTCACAAAGGGTCAATTATCCGCAAAGGTCTCTTCCTCTCCAAAACAAAGGCCAGGTGATTAGAACTTGATAAAAAAAAGGCTAAATAATAGTTTCACATTCAAAAATCAGTGTTTTCCGATGCTGTTTGTTGCAGAGGGGCTGCTATCTACAGTGGCTGTGAGAAAATGCAAAAATGGCCCTATATAGAGCCAGTGTTTGGTTTGTCCACTCAGGGCTACTATACAAATACAGCAGTGCAACATGAAGATATCCGTGGACAAGGACCTGCTCCTTATGTATATATAAAGGCTCATTCTAAGGTAACAAAAACGCAATGATTCTTATTTCCAGGTGATCCTAAACTAAGAAAAACATACTTATATTATATTAAATTTCTGCCAATATATCTCCCTAAATCCCACACACCTGGACACTGAATGAAAAAAATACTTAACAGCCACATGTTAGCTGTGTGGGCTACTATATCACAACTACCTGATTCTATTATTAACAGCAAACCTAACTATGATTAGCAGTCTATTATACTCTTTGAGCTAATATTTGTCTTCTTGCAGGAACTATGTTCTGGCTCCCCTCCAGGACAACCGCCGACCTCACAGTCTCTGTTTATTTTCAGATTCAGTATGCTGCGCACAGAGCCAACAACAGGCCAACAGAAAATGTATCACTGTCCAAATATTTACAGCCCGTATCACAAAATCCTCTACTCAAGAAGTTCAGGAGACTTTATGAAAAGAAATTATGTAGCGGCCTAAAAAGCTGAATTCCATGCTAAAAGTGTATATTTCTTTTCCATTAGATTAATATTTTCTATTAATCACTGACATATATAAATCTATATATATACACTGACAAATGATAACTTCTGATGCTCACAGCTTAAATTAAGAATTTCTTGCAAAAAAAGGTTATGAGATCCTTTATTTTACTTCTCAAACATTATTATTTGCAGGTAAAGATAATTATGAAAGGTAGAGAAAAAAGATGATAGGAATAATTTTTTCTATTACATCACAACTTATCTGGCTTTTTCTTTTATTTCCTGCACAGGAAATTAAAAATTTTCTTTCAGCTGTTGCAGAGGTGATTTGTTGTTTTATTAGAATTACATATGTGCATATGGGTTTATATATATGTATGTGTGTTATGTCTGTTGTAAATTCTTTAGTTATGTTTGTGTATTAAAAAAAAAATTCCTTGCGTATTTCATCATTTAAAGGAAAATCTGAATATATGGAAGCATTTTATCTAAACCTGTATTCGCTCTACTACTGATGTTGGAGATGTGGCTCTATACAAGCACGGACACACCCACACACACACCATGCACACATTATGGCATATAGAGATTCACACAGCTATGAGCCAATGGAAAAGAAGGGACAGCCAGGAAAGCACCATGTTCTCTTTTTCTCTCTAATGTGATAGGTGCTATTTTACTACTGCTGTTGCTCTTGGACCTTTTGTATACAAAACACTGCAGCAAAACAATATAGCCAGCTGTAAATAGTTATTATCTACAGATATGAGAGTCTAAGTGAGTCTAAGCAGGCTTCTGCGCTCATACACTATAAATAGCAGTGTTTGTCTATGTGTATGTGTGTGTATGCATGAGCACCTGTGAGGCTGTCAGGTCGCGTCATCCTTTCGTAAATGTCGTAACTCTGGGGTCCATAGGGGTCAGTGTTGTGGAGCATGGAGCGGGGCAGAGTGGAGCTGTAGTGCTGAGGCACAGCAGTCATACTAGCTCTGACTGGAGACGATGAATGAGTAGGCTGCTTGGTCAGTGGAGGGTTGATGCTCTCCACCATCGTCAGCGGCGAGCCCATGCGGCCCGATGATGACCCCGCAGAGGCCTGATAGGGCGATGTTGTCCGGCTGACGCTCCCCGATCGCGAGTTCGTGGAGCCCATGCGTCGTAGTGCAGCAGGGGAGTTTTTCTGTGTGGAGTAGGGTGAGTTGTTGCCACCCCCGCCGGTGGTACTGGTACGCTGGGCAGAGGGCAAGGTCGTAGAGAAGATGCTGGAGAGAGGTTTGGGTTCAGTTACGATGGGGGAGCCGTAGGCACTGCCAACTGAGGTACGCAGGGAGCCGCGGGAGGGGGACATACTGCTGGCGTAGGCTGGCGAGTGAGAGCGAGAAGGCACTGAGCTTACCCTCCGCATAGCACGACCAGGCACTGCTGTTGTGACTGCTGGAGCCTGCAAGTCAGAAAGAAAACTTGAATTACTGCCTGGTGGTTGTATGCCTGGACCAACCAGTCAAGTTGCAGTTAAAATCCATGTCTGTCCAGATTAATATGACATATGTAGTGAAGATTTGAGGGACTTTAATGAAAAGGTATTAAGTGTATTTAGGCGAAATGGAAGTTGTCATTATATTAACGTATAATTCCAGGGCATAATTTTCGGTGAGAAACATACTGTCATCACTAAGAGACACTTATACAGAGGAGTGCAGAGGACTGATAGAGAGCTTTGTCACATGGTGCAACAACAATCACCTGAAGCTCAATATCAGCAAAACCAATGAGCTTCTGGTGGACTAACACAGGAGCGGGACACAACACAAACCATGACAGTAGACAGTGCTTCAGATATGGTTGTTACTGCAAAGAAGTTGCATATTCTAAAACATGGATGTTTCAGACACATCTTCAACCCAGCAAAACAGGAGATCTGTACGATAAGCACAGTTTCAAGGTGGACACCCAAGATTAGTGTCACCAGTTCAGTTCTCCCCTTCTGTTGCTTATGGTGTGGAACGGCGGCCAGTAACATAATGATGTCGCAGTGAAGTTGACCTTTGGGATATGAACTCTCATCACTTCCTTGTTTTAGCCTATTAGACATTTATGTAAAATTTTGTCATAAATAGCGCATGAATTCTTGAGTAATGGCTGAAAATGTATTTTATGAGGTCACAGTGACCTTGACCTTTGACCACTAACATCTAATCAGTTCATCCGTGAATCCAAGTGGACGTTTGTGCCAAATTTGAAGAGCCTCTCTCAAGGTGCTCCTGACATATAGCATTTACAACATTGGGATGTACATACGTACAGACCTGGAAACATAATGTCTCTGGCCACGGCAGTCGCTGGCACGGAGGCATTACAATGCGACTACATGCATTTTCTTTAGTCCTTCAGGATCTATGTAATCATTAACAATTAGGCAATGGATGATAAAAAAAAATTCAGGTCCTGATTAGCCTGGCCAAAAGTAACTGTAGTTCATGATAATTACCTGATCATCAAAATGTGCTTCAAACTCTTAAAATGACCCTAAAACAAACTGGAATCACTTTACCTTACATTTAGTTAAGAAACAAATATCTTTTGCATTACAGATAGGGCACACTTGTTTTTTTAGTGAACGCTATCTATTTTGAGTATTTGAAATGGCGTCCTTGATAAAGATCTTTGACATTTTTGAGGTTGGTGTAGATGCAGCCTGTTTTTGCAGCGTCTCTTTCAATGGTGGTTGACAGGCAGTCTCTTGGGGTGCTGCTGGACATGATATTCACCATTATCCCCATAATGGAAATTCACCATGGTCAACTTAATGTGAGTGTTTTTATCGTAATCTGCGATAAAATCTTGTATCGTCCCACCCCTATTAACAATCATGTTGTAATCTCTGCTATAAACTGACATGTGTCATGACATTGACATGCTGAATAACACAGCATTATGTAAACCAATTTATTACAGGGCATGACTTTACTCTAGGCTGCATTTATTTCCTCTCTTCCACCCCCCACTCTGTTGTGTGTGACAGTGCCATTTGGTTTCTCAGTGGTCTGTGTACAACACTGTATGAAGCATGATTATGTCGCCGTGCTTGGTGCACTATGTGCCTTCTGTGCCTTTAAGCATTACGTCCCTACCTTCACTGAAAAACATGCAACAGCAATTTTGATGTTTCTCTTTTGTTGTCATGAATTAAAAGCTAACAGTCAGTTATGTAATTAAATTTCACAAGCCCTTGAACATTGTGAACAATGACGGTCAAATTAAAAAATATAGTGAATAGACGGTAGTCTTACTCAGAGGATAATACATTTGAGATGTATTTTGTGCTTGACAACAGCAATATGTTGGACGTAGATTGCTGGCAGTACCTGGGCTGAAGCCTGGCCCTCGGCCCTGGCATTCCTCCCCAGGGTACCAGTGCCGGCGCCAGGGAAGGAGTGCTGCATCCTCAGCTCAGCCTTGCCCAGGTTCTGGCTGCTGAGGTAGCCGCTGCTGGCATCCTGGTAGCCACTGTCCGAGTACGAGTTCATCTGAGTTGAGCTACGCGAATTCCCTGCGGACCCTAAAGAGAACATGACCAAAAAAGAAGATAAAAATGAGAGATGGAAAGACAGAGAGAAGAGAGGAGAGGGACTGAAGAAGAAGGAAATAGACACATCATACATGGTTTCATAATAGACATGACCTTTACCTAGACGGTATTACTAATGACAAATAGTACAGCAGGAGGAAAACTGTTCTGCCACCCCTATAATTCAGTCTGCCATGCTACATCATTCAGGCTTTCATAAGCTGTGTTGAGAGATCAGCTGTTATCAGTGACACTTACAGTATAAAGTATGGAAAAAGACAGAGGTGCAAGACGGAACAGGCTTTCTGTCTCACCAGAAGAGAGGTAAAGACACAATTTGTAGTGGGAGGATTGCCACATACGCTTAGATGGACAATGCTAAGGTAAGAAAACGATGCGAGTTAGGGAAAAGATAGGCTGCAGACGATAGAGGGAAGGCAATAACAGACCCTCACTTTCATGGAGGGAGGACTGCTCCGGGGAGTACAGAGACACCTGCTCTGACTCAGTCCTGATGCGGTAGCTGGGCGACTGGGAGCTGTCAGTCACCCGAGACTTGGTGTCCCCCGAGGCGGAGGCATCTGGGAAGACACAGTAGAGCAGGGAGTCAGACACAGAGAAAGAGCTTCGAGTCTGAAACAATTACAGAGTTCTGGCTTTGAATGGAAAGATTATAATAGCCAATAAAGCAGTCAACAATTGATGGAGTTGAGAGGAAACAATAACAGACAATAATTTCTGCAACATTAGTTTTACGCTTGTGTACAGTTGGAGTCATTAAATTTTACTGCCATACTAATTTGGGAAGGCAAAGTTGGGTAGCATGTCACTTCAACTATGCATACAGCTATGCTCTAAATAGTTTCACTGCCCGAACATTTCCCTACGTCCCCCTTCTCGTCACGCATGAAAACAACCAGTGTGGCAAACAGGAACTAGAATTAGCCCTCTGATGTCCCTGTGCGCAATGTTTCCCCATAATCACAATCTAGTTAAGCGTGACCAGTGTCAATGGGTTACTCTGCAATCACTACAACAATAGGCAGCAAGTGGAGGGGAACAGGGAGGCAAACATTGGCAGCCAGAGTCTGTCAAATCCTGCCCGATTAGCTGGTGTGAGAACGAGAGTCGAATCCCATGAAAAAGCCACCTTGTTGCCCAAGCTGACCTGTTGAATAAATCTGTTGACACATAAGCCTAGTGTGGTGTTTGACAACCTGGCATTTTGCACTTCCACCTCTGAAGATATCAGGGTGTTTGCCCATTTACAGATGGGACTCAAGCAGGTCTCAGTGCAGACTGCCAGAATACACATTTGGCAAGGCCTGCCTTTCCTCTGTGCCTTCAGAAAGTTCTGTATCAAACATCCTCACTATTTGCAAAACACCTTGCAAATTGTGTCACTTTCAACAGCGCTGCCGTTTCTAATTTAATACGTAACCCTGCTTAAAAATAACAACCTTATAAATTTTAGTTTCTGTTTAGTCTTGCCGTCTCACTCACCCACTCACTGTTTCTTGTGTACTGTCTCTCTTTCTTTGTCTTTTTCTGTTTTTGACAAAATATCCATCCCTGGTTAAGAATTCTGGAGCAAAAAGGCAAAAGATTTATGGGCTGGTTGATGGTGAGATGTACTCACGTCCTGTAGCCAGAGGAAACGTGCTATCTCAACTACTAATGTACAGTTTTAGCCCACTAACTATCCCACTACTGGCTATGGTACTACAGTACTTTCAATAAAGCAATCATACTATCAAATTCACAAAAACTCTGTCTGAATACATTGCTCTTCTTAATGGGTTCAGTTGACTATTTAATCTGCAATTTCCTATGACCTGTATCCCAAACACACACCATGTGAAACTGTATGTGGGCAACTGTGCACTCAATGAGTATGGACTATTTTGTAATTAATCCAATGATACCACAGCATCACAGGTGAACTTAATTAAATTGTCGTGCAAAAGACTCAAGGTCATAATGCCTTTGCAACATTGTAAATCACAAACATGTAGAGTGGAGGGTGTGCACATTCAAAAACCTTTCACAGGTGCTTGATCAAAAAATCAAATGAAGGCAAGAATCAGTCAAAAGATCTGCACACTGTATTAAAAGCTTCCTGCATTTTTAGTGTGCCCTGTTTCCATCTAAAAGATTTATAAAAGATATAAACACAAACACCTGAGTGATGAATATGTCTGTGTCTATATATTGCTTGTTCTGCTTTGTGATAGCGAGTTGACAATGCCTCAAAAAACCTCTGTTAGATTGAAATGTTGCAAGGTTACAATAGCCGAGAGCTTTTAATACAGTGTGCAGATCTTTTGTGTGATTCTAACTTGTAAATCACACCTTGACAGAACCAGGTGACGTTTTGTCAGCAAAGCAACATGACAGTATGAAAACATCATAGTTGAGAAATGTGGGCTCCTTCACTCATCAGTATGACAACACTGACACCACGGAGTCACTCATGACAAAACTGCTGCTGTTAGTTGAAAGCTGGATTTGAACTATATATTGTTTATGCCAGAAAGCCTATCTGAATGTGGTCCAAACCTTCCTGCCACCACAGACTAATAGGCCTGCAGACAAATTACTACAGAGGACACTAAACAAAATAGTATAGGAAACCATCTGGTAAACCTGTGCTGCTTGAATTAATTAAAAGGAAATATACAGCGGGTGACAGCGACCGGGAGAGGTAATGTGACAGATAGAGATAATAATACACATAATATACCTCATCCAGCTGGGGGTGGGTGGTTACTGCAGCACCCTCAGAGCCTCTCCTTCCTGGGGTCATTGAAAACTTTCCTCAGTACTTACAATGAATTTTCATACATTGCAGTGGATCGGCGATTATTAATTAAGGATAGACCGATATATCGGCTGGCTGATATATCGGGCCGATATTTGAGTTTTTTACTTGTATCGGCATCGTCCGATACGCATGTGGGTTCGCGGATTTATTTTTCCCTGGCATGATTTACAGACAGGCATCCACGGGCAGCTCTGTGTTGCCGGAAGACCCTGCAGCGCACATGCAGCGAATCCTACTGTGTACAGTAGTTGTTGTTTTATTTATGCTTCAGCTTAAATATTTGTTTATTTTATAAAGACATTACTGGAAGATTTAAGAGCACTGAACTCTTTTTTTATTTGAATGTATAATAATGATAATAATATTCTACCTGTTCTACCTCAACTTTCCATCTTGTTTTAGTATTTTTTACTGTTCAATAAATGTTTCTTATTTTAAACTTGAGATCTGTAATATTTGTTATCATTGTGTCATTTTTTTGATGTAAATTGAGGGAGCAAAAGCAGTATCGGCCCCAAATATCGGCTCAAGAAAATCGGCAGTCCATAATCGGTCATCAGCTAAGGGTGATGGAAAAAAATCGGTATCGGCATCGGCCCTAAAAAATCCATATCGGTCTATCCCTATTATTAATGAATCTCATTTTTCTCCTTTTATTTGAATATTTTTCAGAGATTGAGGGCCACGTACTGAGGAATATGCTTTGGTCAAGTATTGCACCCCAAGGTAACACTGTATAACAACCATCATTTATAAATGGTAAGTTGATAGTTCATCAAACATTTATCATTAACAAACAATGAAATTATAATAATGTTTACTAATTATTGGTAATGCTTTAATTTAGAGTGTTTCAGCAGTTTATTGTTGCACACATATAATTTTATATACTATATTTGTCAAGTATTTGTCAATAATAAATCATTAGTCTACTAAAAACATTATTTGGATACCCGTAGTTACGCAGATGACACACAACTGTACATCTCTGCTGAACCAAACAATGCTGTGGCCATAAACTCCATTACTAGCTGTCTTCTGGCAATAAATAAATGGATAAGCAATAATTTCTTAAAGGGCTTGTCAGCCCTAAAACAAAAAGAGAAATGCTTCTTAATAATCTGGGAAATTTAACTCCCTGGATTAAATCAGAGGTTACAAGTCTTAGCGTGATCCTTGATTCAGATCTAAGCTTCAAGTCCCACATTAACAAGCTGATGAGAACATAATTTTTCCACCTCAGGAACATAGCCATGGTATGACCATTTCTGAATGAAAAATATTTTGAGAATTTGATCCATGCCTTTATTTCAAGCCAACTTGATTACATTATAGCACTTTTAATGGCCTCCCAAAAAACACCACTGAGAGACTTCAGCTCAGTCAAAACTGCAGCTCAGCTACTAACCAGTACCAAGAGGAGAGAGCACATCAGGCCAGTCGTTGCTGCTCTGCACTGACTTCCCGTTAGATTTAGAATTGATTTTAAGCTCCTCCTCATTGTATACAAAGCTCACATGGGCTGGGACTGTCAATTACACCCCAAAGCTATGGAACACACTACCTGTAGATATCAGGGAAGCTAGCTCACTAAATATTTTTAAAATAAAGCTAAAAACGTATCTGTTCACTTTAGCTTTTAACTAGCTCTGACTTCCTGATACAGGTCTGAAACTCTTTTTTTATTTATTTATTTATTTATTTTTTTTACATTTTTACTTTTCATTTATGCTTCACGCTGCTGCAACTCTAGCAGTAGTAGTAGTAGTATATAGTTGCAACTGATGATTACAATACCTTGGTAAATAGTCAATAAAGACTGTAATATAGTATATAAAAAGTTATAATGTGTAAAACAATAGACTGTTAAAATACTATAAATCATGCATTACTAATAATTAGTAAACATTATTCATTAAATTTCATTGTTTATTATCTGTAAAATAACAATTGGTTATGGTTATTACATAGTGTTAACTATCCCAGTGCCCTTTGGTTAGATGTCCTGACATATAGAGAGAACGTTAATCATTCACATATCATGCAGGCGATAGAAGAGACTTGTTAAAATATTTACAGTAAAACATAGAGACGGTCCTTTGAGATCAAAAAGCATTCATATGTCCTTTAAATGTAAGTAATGACACGAATGAACAAGTCTTTTGTCTCCTTCCACCCTGGCAGTGACTCTGCGTCTGGCACACAGTGTGTCGTTTCAGACCACAGGGTTTTTGCACTGAGCCTTGACCCTGTTTGATAAATGAGATGCCAAAAAGCCAGAACAGAGGAGGAACAGGAAGAGCAGGAGACAGCAAGAAAGAAAGAGAGACAGAAGCTCTTTTTCACACACTGAAGATGAAACATTACTGGCTCCGGTTGCCCATGTATGATAGGGTTTTTTGGCATTCATAATCAGGTCTTTTATATGTAATAATTTAATGTTGTTTAATGTTGAGTATTTTCATTAAGACACTGGAGAAAGGAGTTGTGAGCTCTTTTACAGGTTACCTTGGTGGTAGACATTAAAACTTATTGTGCAGTTGAATGTTAATCTCTACTGCTTTAGCTTACTAACCCCAGTTCGCAAAGCCTCCTGTGGCACCCAATACATTTTCTTACCTATTCATAATGTGTTAGATCACTTTTTGTTGGCATTTTACAGGATTTAAAGAGCATTTTTTAGGTTGCTGTCCCCAGTTATGTGTTGAAAAATTATGTGAATTTAAAAAATATATATCTGTGTATAAACCACAGTGG